ATGAATATATTGTGTTCTATTACAGGATTGTCCAAAATTGTCACGATGAAGCTTCTAGGTTTATCCAACTACTAGCCCAACCTGGATGTAATTATTTAGTCTCTGAAGATTTCTATCCGGTTATACAGGTCTGTAATGACTTTCATTTTGTTCTCGCCTGTTGTTGCATAGTTCTTCTCTGTTGAAACCATCCCAAGAATTCTTATATATTTTTGATATTTTTTTGTTGAATATTAGGTTCCCTAAGCAAAATATTTAAACATTCTAACAGTTTGTGATAAAAAGGTTTTCATTCCTACCATTGTCTTAGAGATACAAATTATTCCAAATAGCCTACGAATTAGAACCCATGTTGTGCTCCAAGAAAATTATGATAATTCTCATTGTTACCTACTCATCAAGCGTGTGTGCAAAAACCTACTGCATATCACAAAACTTCATGACGTAAAGAGTTATCACTATATCTCTAACAAATACCATAGCCTGATCACACTTGGATCAGATTGGAGATCACTAACAGGATATTGACTGCCTACACATGTTTCTCAGTCATTGGGTTATTTTGGATACAGTAATACGTGAATTGATTATTATTAGAACTTTCATATGATACCTGTATTTATTTTGAGGTATTAAAAATAGATTTCCACTGCTAGTTCAGTTCATTCAATTCAGTGTTTATAAAGTGTGAAATTACTCCAGAAAAACTGCCTTTGGCGGTCACATTAATGACTAGTATACTACCAAAGCTGTTTCAGAAAACTCAATTTTATACTTAGAAAGACTTGTTTTCTTAAACTTCTGGGGAATGTCTTGTGACTTATTACTCAACGGTTGAGACCATTACCTCGTCAGCCATGTGGGTGGTGTATATCGCAGCAGTCATACAATATTTTGTATTTTCCTTCTTTGTAAGTGGATATTTACATCCAATAATAGGGCCTTGTAGGTTAGTATATCACATCAATCTGATTAATATGTTTTGTAAGAGTGATTTGTGTCATCTCAGTTTTTGCTGGTTACCTGCCTACAAACATCTGACCAACTCTAATACCAGATCTTGTTCGTTAGTTTGTCTTGTAATAAATTACTCATACATTTACCAATCACAAGCGTTTTGCAAGATTTACTTTAGAATAATGAAGTCTTCTCAAGTTGTCAAGACATAAGTATATATAATAAAATATTATCTTTATAAACTGACTAGATACTTTGTTTTTCATGGCTATTAGATATGTACAAATTATAATACCTGCAAGCCATGAATATATAAATATTATTGAAATATTAATCAGGAAATTAGACAAATGATTACACTAGGAAATCCCATGGAGTGAAAGCAATGTTTAATGTTTCTTCTCAACTAAATGGATAAACAGAATGTACCAATTGAGCGGTGCATTACCTTACTGCAATGTAGTCTTCAAGAATTTTTTTTTTTTTTTTATTATTTCTACAAAAGTTCTACGAGTTTAATATACCACAAATACCAAATGTAGTGCTGTTATTTACCACATCATTGAGGGGTAACCTTTGGCAGAGAAACTTTGGTTTATGTACTTAAAGATCTACGCTGGGAAAGAGATTGATAACATACTTACAGTGTGGTACAGTTTTGTAATCACACATTTTGAGTTGACGTTTCAAGTTAAAAAATGTGAATGTGAAAAAAAACAAAAACAAAATTATTTAGTGTCAGCTCAAGTTGAATTCATGTTTTGCAATTATCTTGAGCATGTAGCAGTGCATTATAGGAGTTCAAGCCAAGTTCAAATTTTGCACTACCGATACTGAACATGTTACTGTCAATGCATTTTTGGAGTTCAAGTTAAATTCATGAATTTTTAAAAAAAATTGACATTTAAATGCGTTATATTATTTTGGGGATTTTCATTAATTTTAGTTTTCTGGTAAAAAAAAGTAAAAATAAATTCTAAGTAAGCTTGAGTTTCGGTAAATTCCGTTATTGGAAACAACATTAATCATGTGTTGCATGTATTTTCACACTATTGTGGGGGGTTATTATTATTTTTCTGGCAAAAATAGCTAAACAAATTCCCACAGGTCTGTAATTCATGTTGTATACTCAGAAGTATCGTGTTTCATTTCTTGTATGTAGGTCATAGTTTACATGTAGCGAAACCGCAATGTTTAAATGTTTATATTGAACAGAACATGCCTTTATTATATCATTATAGTAACCTTGGCTTTTACATCTCAATAACCTGTATGCATCAAATCACATGTGGGAGTATGCTCAAATGATAGCACAGCCTTATTTTCAGAATTTTCAAGTTTTGCCTATAGAGGGCCAATGTCGGATCTTCAACGCTGTACATGGATGGCCAGCCGTACAACCTTGTGAATTCACTCTACATAAAACAGACACCATTGTTTAATAGTCAGACATTGGACAAAATTGCCCCCATTCCTGTTTTAATCTTCATTTAACTAATGTTAAAGATAAAAAAATCTGTTGAGACTATTTAAATACTATTTGTCAATTTTCATCAGATGCAAAGTAGTATACTCCCAGTGTACTTTTAAGATGTGTGCATATTTTAGCCTTTAAACAAATATACATGTAACATGCTTTTTTTCCCTCAATATTATATTTTACAAGCCTTTTGTTACAATCAGTGATTCTGTACTATTTCTTTCTTTGTTTTTGTAACATGAAGACAACCATTTTTAGTCTCTGTTTGGATGTATTCTCAAAACAGGAACTTCATACGCCCATCATACATAATGCACATATATTTGTTGCATGATCCAATTCAAGATGACCGAATGATGGCCATTTTAGTTTCTGAAGTAGATTTGGCTCATGAATAGACATATTTCATTCAAACTTGGTATGTCTATTGAACAGATTATACATGTAGGCATATTTCGTAGCAGGTCAGCTTGAAAATGGCCGACTTGTGGCCATTTTGTTTTAGAACTGATCACACTTAAACTTTACATGTAAATTATACATCATGTCACATATATGCATATGCACTCAATTCATGCATCATGTCCTTCATATGACATCATCATTTACCACGCCCTCCTGTGGCAGCTTTACTGAAATGGCCTACTAGCAGCAAAAAATCACACTTATATGAGCAAGAACAGTAAAACCGTTCTATACTGATGTAATCTATCATTTACCAACTTCAACTGACATATATTTAAGCAGGCCCTTGCTTTCTTTTTTTTCAGTTCCATGAAATTGTTTCCTTTCACACCTAATCAACTTTTGTTGGGCGTTAATTGACCCTAATTAACATAATTTATGCATCGACACTTGGATATCGGCCATATCACTATAATTTCAAATATAACGATAACTCAGAAATTAATAATAACATAACAACAATATTAATGTTCATGACAAAGTATTACTCCCTTCCATCTTGGTATGTCGAATGCTTTGAACGTTTAAATTGTCCCTTAAATTACTACAAATATAACAGTTCATTCAGCATCACATCACATTCAAGCCAATCAACATGACTATCCTGAAGTATAATATCATGATTTATAAACTGTTTTCTTATTTGTTTGTTATAGGATATAGTAGATTCTCATCCTGGGCTACAGTTTCTTCAAGATTCTCCAGAATTCCATTCTAGATATATACATACAGTGAGTACAATACCCAGTTATTATTGTATTTGTTTGTCATACTGATAAATAAAGTCATTACTACACTAACTTTATACCAACCATAAATTTGATGTATAGATTAATTGAATTGAATACTGAAAGGGTCTGGGATAAAAATCCCCAACTAGTGTGAGTAACCCCATTCCAAGTGTGGTACTTATTTCCTGCATCACAAAATACATTATTTATCACAGTAAATTGAAATGTTTAGATTATTATTAGATGCAAATCCATTCAAGTTTGTGAATGTTTCATTCAACATCACAAAACTGTAGTTCCTAGTATAGGCTTTCACTCTTGTTTTACCTTTTTAACAAGAATCAGACTGTAATTATATTTTATACACTGTGTCTACAAATTAATGTGAACAAATACCTATTTACTCAACAAGAGTGGCTCACAAAAGTCCTACTTGACCTGTTTGGTTACACAAAGAGTTTGGGAATGATTTGATTCCACACTGTTGATCCTAAACTTCCATGGACCACCTTTGGAAATTAGTGTTCCAACTAAGAAAATTTGGCACTGAAAAATATTGAGATATTATTTTAAAAGACGCTTGTACTTGAATACAAAATGAATAAAATTAAAAAAAATGTTTCTAAGATTTCTCAATTTTTACTGAGAAACTTTGACTCCTTGCTCAAAAAACTTTGTGAAAACAATTCATGGACGGAAAACTGAGAATGTTATCTCCAAGTGTAATAAAGTAAGTGTAAAAAGTAAATTAATAAATTATACTCAGCAGCTCGCCCAACAGGGTAGGATGGCTTGGTATAGTTTTAAGGGAGTCCCTTGCTTTATTATCAGAATAAAATCATGCATTTTGATTTGTTAGACTCCAGTGTGTATGTGTGTGTGTGTAAGTGAAACAAACAATTGAAGTATGTATAAGTTTCTGTTCCACTCAAAATCTTTCATAGCAACATGGTTTACATATATTTATAGGCAGTCTAGGATAAACTACAGACATGAGGTGAAGTAAATGTAGTATAGCTTTCATGGGTAATGAATTTGTCATAACCATTAAAAGTGCCATCAGCTATAAATTTCAATGTTTCTATTTGCTTCCAAATATTATTTTGTAAAACTGTGTGTTTTCTAGAATATTGTTGGTCTCTCCTGATACTTTTTGGTTGCAGGTTTTCATTTAAACACATGTCAGTTTGTTTCCAATTGGCCGACTGAGCAAAATTTTGTACATACATGTAGTAGCAATTCTTAATTTTGATCATTTTGCTTATGTGAGAATGAAATCACTAAAGTTTATTCATACTTTGTTCAGTTTTATGTATTGTTGATTTTTGTAAGTTATGTAAGTTGATTTTTGCTGCCATCATATCCAGGATGGCCAACTAGCAGCCATTTTGTTTGATGAAAATTTGTTCAATTCTGCTTAGGTTCAAACCTGGTTCACAGACAGTTGTGTTTAAGCACTTCAATGAAAGCTGATCTCTGTCATGATCTAATCCAGATGATTGGTAGCCATTTTGTTTTACATTTTGCTGAAGTGGTCATTATATAGACTCGCACATGTTTTAGGTGTATTACAGTCCAAGACATTTAACTCCCAGTGTAGAACTGGTACATGCTCTTGTTCAAAAAAATTCATAATTTTAACCCTCACTGGAATATCAAAACTTGTATACACCATGCTGCTTCTTTAAATTGGAAGCATGGCTAATCATGATATATTTGCACTATGTTTTACATTAATTATAATTTTTCGCAAAATGTGATACTGAAGACTTATAAGTTCTGTCAGAACTTATTTTTAGAAAGTTTTGGGCTAAATTTCTCAATTATATGATGAAGTTGCAATTTCCATACTGTAAAATACTTTACTTTCGCTATTTTCACTGAAAGAATGATTCAATGAAAATAAAATCCAGCAAATGAAACAGAAATTTTATACAAAACACCGAAAAAGTCTTTTCAGCGAAAATTAATTCCAGCTAAAATGAAGTATTTTATAGTATATCAATGTAGCCACCATATTGGTGTTTAGCCTCCATACTTGAACTTGAAGTTTGATATATTATCCATTATTTTGTTGTCCTTGTTCGTAGCTGGTTGTTATAAATCAACTAAAATAATCCTCCACGTATCCATTCCTGTATACTAAATTTGTGCAGGTGACGTCTAACTTGAGCTCCTTAATAGTATACGTAATCTTTTTACCAGTCACACTCATCTGGAACCCATGGATGATCTCTTTGAACCTGATAGATTAAAAAAAAATGGTATCGTCTGCCATATAAATAATTTTAAAAAATCTTTAAAAAAATTGTAGTAACTGTTTTGATGTAAATTTTTTGAATGAGTATAGCAGTCATAAAACGTTAAAAAATTGTTTATGTTTGTGTATGGGAACTGATTAAAAAAGTTTTAAAAGCACTGCTATGGAATGGTAGGCATGTGTGGGAAAATTCACAAATCATTAACTTGGGTATTAATTTAGGGTATCCATGTCCTTAGCAGGGACATATGCCAGCCAGCCAGTACATGTCTGTTTCAATCTTAGTTATCATTCAACTTTTGAACCATGTTATTATTCCCAAAAGCTTGGCGAACATTTTTTTGCATTATTCTGTAATTGTTTGGGCTGAATAAGTTCACATTGGTAACAGGTGTTAAAATATTGAAAAAAATATGCAGGTTTATTTTTTTGAAGGATGACACTGGATTTTTCAGATTTTTTATCTTTTTGATTTTACATATCCTGACACCAGAGGGCAGTATTTTTGTCACATTGATTCAGTGTGCAGCATATGTTTTACATGTATATAGTTACATCATTAAATTTAATTTATTCATTCCACATTGATCAATTTTAAGTCGAACATTTTTTTTCTTCTGAAAGTAAATTGAATAGTGAATTATTAGATGAAGTTAAAATAATGCCATCAAGATATACATGTACTTGATTTATAGCGTATGAAGGCTTAGATTCAAAATGTCATAGGTCAACTGCATTAACCTTTGTAGTAATCCTCCTAGTCTGTCCCTGAAGACAGGATTGTGATTTATTCTGCTGTGTTTACACATCTGTATCTTGTTAACTGTCATTTTCTTCCATGTATACCCTGGAAAATTTGCCCTCGGCTGACTTTTTCAACTGCTTCATATTTAACATAAATTGGTTCGTGTGATTGGTATTTATTTTGTTTTTTAGCTATAACTAATTTTGAAGATGGCACCTGGGCAATAGTTTCATTTATCTCCTGTCAGTGGCACATTATTTTCACTAGTGTCTAGTAACAGGGCAATAGTTTCATTTATGTCCTGTCAGTGGCACATTATTTTCACTAGTGTCTAGTAACTGGGCAATAGTTTCATTTATGTCCTGTCAGTGGCACATTATTTTCACTTGTGTCTAGTATCTGGGCAATAGTTTCATTTATGTCCTGTCAGTAGAACATTATTTTCACTAGTTTCTAGTTACTGGGCAATAGTTTCATTCATGTCCTGTCAGTGGCACATTATTTTCACTAGTGTCTAAACTGGTCATTAGTTTCATTTATGTCCTGTCAGTGGCACATTATTTTCACTAGTGTCTAGTAACAGGGCAATAGTTTCATTTATGTCCTGTCAGTGGCACATTATTTTCACTTGTGTCTAGTAACTGGGCAATAGTTTCATTTATGTCATGTCAGTGG